AATGAACTCATCCAAAAAATTATCCATGGCATTCGATTCATGACGGACATGATCATAACAGTGACGTTTTGCAGTAAACTACGGTGGTATGCTTCTGCGTGCCTTGTTTGAGCACTGGTCACGATCGTTCTCGGAAATTGACGAAGAATCGCCAACGCATCGTTTCAATTCAGTTCCTGAACACACGCCGCTTATCTTATGGTTGCTTTCATTGGTCTCTTTCGATATTCGATTCGTGATTCTTTATGAAAATGTATTTTATGAAGTGATGTTAGTTTGTCAATCGGTGAACGAACTGAATTTTGAGTGAATCAACGGGTCGTCCAATATTTCGATTGGTTGTTCGCGATGCAGCCAACGAAACAGAATCGCTGATGTTGTCAGATTACGTTCCGCAATGGGTCGTTGATGTGGTCGAGCGCAATCAGCTGCCCAAATTCAACAAAATGCCATTCTTCTTATTACCACATCCATCGCTCGGCATTAAGGCACCGAAAAAGTTTGCCTTTTAATATCATTCATCTTTCAATTTTCGTTTTGAAATTGTCCGTTTATTTACGGTCCTTTATTTGAATATTTTGCATTTGTTTGGTCATATTCTCGAAATGAGTCTTTCTATGCGTCCAGTAGGACTGCAGTAATTTTGTTCGAGTCTTTGTTGGTTATGTGGATCTGTTTCTGATGTTGTTGGATGCTTTAAGGANTGAAATGTTGTGAGCGGTTCGTAATTGGAAATAAATTTGTGTTCGCTCATAAAATAATCGTTGAAAATTATTGAAGGGATCGTTTGAGTGCCACCGAAATGCTACAAGTGCGCAAAGTGATGGAGCATGTCTTCGAAAAGATTTTGAACGTTGTCGGTGAACCGAATTTCACTGAGAATGGCGGTGGTGCAGCCACACAGTTGTTACCGCCGTCGATACCGGCCAATATTGAAGAGCGAATCGAACTCTATTGCCAAGATCAGGTCAGTCAGTTCAGACTAATTTTTCTACGCCTCGAACTAAAATATTATTGAAAATATCATTTCTTGCAGATAAATATTTTGCCCTTATGTCCAGTCTTTTAGCTCACCATGTAGAATATAACGTTGAAATTACTCATGTGCTCTTTCAGAAATTAGATCCTGAAATGGATTTGAGGACAGTAAAGCACTTCATCTGGAAGCAAGGCGGAGATCTACTTTTGTACTATAAGCCAATACGGTGATATTCTTGTGCTGTGCTATTGATGATCGATGCTTCGAAAATTACCCCGTAATAAAATTCTTTGAAGTGTGTGTGCACAACGTGTTATGTTGCCATCAAAAAGCAAGGAATGTTTCGTGATGAAGAATTTCCGATCAAAACGATGTGTACATTTTTGCTGTACCTTTTTGTGAAGAACAGAACATGCAATTGAATAAGTGCTGTTGAAATGCGATCATGAAGCATGTTATGAACTGTCGTTAATTTCATGAATCTGACACTTCCACAGATGTATGATTCATTTCAATTCCATTGCGAAATGTCACATTCCAAAAAAAGTCATAAGCATAAGCTCGGTTCTGTGAATTAAACAGCTCAATTAACCACCATCCATCTCTATCCTTTAGTTCGGCAGTTTACTGTTCTGCCCCACGATCGCCTGTTATATGTTGTTTGGGTGATCAGCGAAAGCGATCCATTACATGCGATGTCTACCGTCTCATGAACTAGAATCGGACGTTATTTTCTTTCTTCATAAATCATTCTGAACTTGGTTATATGTAAGCAGTAATAGTGAGCAGTTCACGTTTTAAAAAAATCGTAATGGGCAACTGCACTAACTGAACGAGTGTTGAGGCGCTCATTTCATTGTTCCGATTGATGGTGTTATTGAATGAGCTAAACTAACAACTTATCCAGTTATTCTCAATTGGTTGGGTATTTGCTGTCGATTCGCTGAACCGTTGTGTGCCGAATGTCGTCACATTCCTATGTCAACGTCAGTTATTGGGATATGTGATAACGGCAGTGATGAAGATTGAAAGGAATTGCAGTTGAGCTTTGACTTTTGAACCGATTTGAAAGGGAACGAACTTTAGCGTAGGGTACGAATGCAATTATCGTCTCGTTATTTTACTCGGTTAACGATTTTTTTTTGCTGAATGCCCTTGTTGATGGGTTCGTTTGGAATCGTAAACAACTTTTTCGTTCGGTTGCATATATCACGTCAAATTGGGAAAGACTCGTTGAAATGTTGACTCAGTGGCACACAATTGATACTCTGATTTATGGGTTCGTATTTTTATTGATGTCAATCACTATCAGACTGTGTGCACTGTTTAATGGCATTTTGTTGGTCATTTTGCGTACAACAACAAACACGATTTGGTTCCTTTTTGAGCGGTGTTGAAATAGTGGATAATTTGATTTTTGATTCATCGCAAGTTGTCTCTTTTTTNTTTTTTGAGTTGATAATGCTCAAAATAATGCACGTTGCTGCATTGTTTCATTGTATTTTGCAACGGGTAATTAGAGAGTCACGTCAAGAAATTCTTGTGTAAATGGGATCTATATGCTGAACTTGTACTTATTCTAGTGGTTCATGGGAAAGGGATTTCTTGAAGTTGATTCATGTGTTATTGCGTGGAAAATAAACTGTCATGAATCGTTGCGTTTTTGCCGATAATTTGTTTCATATTTTGAATACTGTCGTTTGATGTTTTTTTATTTTTTTGAAGGAGTGACGAAGGTTTGGGTACGACAAGCTTTTCAAGAGTGAATACCATCAAAAAAATTTTTTTTAATTCCAGAAGTTTATAGTTTAATCGAGAAAAGGATCGAAACTAGAGGAATTTAGAGTTTCAAAATTAAATTGTTTTATTTTTGTTCCACGAATAGCTGCTGAATCAATAAAACTTACCCACGGAGAGGGTATTATTGTCATTCTGAACTAACTGGATTTGCTGCAAAGGCATCTGATAGTTAAGTGCAATTCGCATAAGCGAACACTGCCGTTCATTTGGATGCGACCACGATTAATATATTCATATCACCTCATCAATACATCTGAAGATCTCATTCCATCAACAACATTCACCAGCAAAGTTGGTTCTTTCATTGCATTCTTTGCATATCAACTATCTTGTAATTGTTATTATCATATCAATATTATTAGTATTGCTGCAGTGGTTGAAACTATATGTGATAATATGTGAAATGAAAACGTAATTGGTAGCTGGTATCTCGTATCAGTCTGTTTATCCTACGTTGTTGTTGTTGAACTTCAAAGTATGTAAATTTGATTGAAATTCGGATAGTTCACTCGATTAAACTGACTGAATTTTAGTCATTCAGTCGCTCATATGAAATCATAATTGGTCGTATAGTTTGTTGATTTTTGTGACAGTATTGTATGTATGAATTTACTTTAGAGGGTGTGTGCGGATAGGTTTTTGATTTTACTGGAATTTGTCCGTTGAAAGTTTGTTTTGCAGCTCAGTTGTTGCAATGGCCGAAAAACGGAAGCTTCTAAACGAAATCGACAAATGCTTCAAAAAGGTTATAGTTTGAAATCAAGAAANTGCTATGGGTCGATAAATTTTTTGGAATTTCGTTTCGATTACTTCATCGAAATTCAATGAGTTCTATGAATGAGATGAGATACTGTCTTTGGCAGTTGATGAGATACACAAGAGACTGTTGTATACATCAATAATTTTGTTGCATTTGCCAGGATGATCTCAAGAAAGAGATTAAAAAACTGCAAAGGTTGAGAGACCAAATCAAAGGATGGCAGAATTCATCAGATATCAAGGTTTGATTATTCTTCAAATTGATTCTCTTTGAAAATGCTGAACTGGTTTGTTGAACGTGTCCGTATGATGGTTCAAGCTTTTTGTTCAAGTTTCATTGCTGTGAATACAAGAAGTGCGAATGAATGTGCACAATTTACAGGACAAAGACAGATTGACACACTACCGTAAATTGATAGAGCAAAGGATGGAGCAGTTCAAGGATATCGAACGAGAAAACAAAACAAAACCACACAGTAAACAAGGGCTGTCGGCCGAAGAGAAACTGGATCCCCGCGAGAAAGAGAAAGCAGATACCGTTGAATGGTTGCAGGTCATTTTGCACTTTTGATCTCGTTTTTCCTTTTTTTTTCAGCTTTCAATTCATTTCCATGGGGTCTTTGCTCGTATTTGATGATTTGCACTGTTTGTAAATGCATCTATTTTTTGAATCACGATTGAGCACATTCTCTTTAAGAATTCTTCAATCGCGAATACTGATGGGTCTGATAATATTAGATATTAATGATAAAGAAGCAGTAGTGCGCATGATATCTCCCGTTAAAAATCGTTTTTGAGAAAATTATTCATTAAATAAATTTGTTTTTCTTTTCTTCTGCTTTGTTGGTGTTTGAAAAACGAGAGTGAGAATTGTCAGCTGGATAGCGAGATGAAGGGATTTCGTGAATGTAAAGAAAAATCATAGTCGATTCAGTGATCGTTGCAGAGATTTCAGAGAGAAAAGAGAATATGAGATGAGCGTTATTGTGAAATTAGCAATTTTCATGTAGCATAGACATGGTTATTCGTAAATTGTGATTTTGTTACCAATGGAAGTATTGAAGGGGAAATTTTCATTTGTATTCAATCGCGTCTAATTTGTTTCAGTGTCAAATTCGGTTCCTGGAAGACGAATCTGATAAAACCGAATCACAGATCGAATCAATTTCGACGACCGAACAGACAAGGAAGAAAGGGAAACGTGACGATCCAAAAAAAGGCGAAAAAGAGGTAAATATTCATGATATAAATATATTCATGATGTTCGTCAGACGATTATAATTTTGTTTTATTTTCGTGACGGATGTAATCCGAATTTTAATTGTGTATATTTTCACTGCGGTAATAACTCGAATTGTTTAAGAAATTGAAAAAGTTGGAAGATCTGCGTAAGCATTTGGAACGGATGAAATTCCACGCTTCGAAATTGGAGATCTGCATGAGACTTGTGAATAATGAGACACTGGAGAGTAAGAAGGTGATGGAAACATTGAAAGAGCAATTCGAACTGTACATTGATGCGTTGGATCCTGACAGTGAGAACGATGCGGAATCTTTCGACCCTGAAGCATCAGGTTCGAACTTTAAGTTTTAATATAATCAGATCGAATGAACGATTCGTTGATTGTTGTCCGAAAGTGCGCTTCGAATAATTGTCTGGAAATTGAGAACTGTTATCAGTATTGTGTTTTGACGGCAAATGAATATAACTGTACTCGTAATTAACGGTGTCATCTTTCATCTCTTCAGCTGATGTATTTTAAAGAGGTGGTGATGTGATGAGGATAGCGATCTGATAATGACAGTGTTTTAGGTGTATACGACGAATTAGATCTGCAATCGTATACTCCGCAGTTGGGTGGTGCAATATTTGGAGCTAACGAAATGGACGAGAAGGTTGATAATAATGGCGATAGTAAGAGTTCATCGAGTGTCTCACCTACACCGGTTTTACCGAAGGTTTGTCGTTTTTATCTTTTATCAATCAAACTGCTTGCTTATTCATCTCACCTGCAGCTGGTGAGTAGAGTTACTGGTAATCTGTGGTCTATGCACATGATTGATAATTTTTTATATCTTTGTTTTCTTATATTTTTTCTTTACGAGCTTTATCACATATTGGTGTCATTCTTTTGAGGATAGCCTAATTTATCTGATGATAGTCTTAATGTTTTACCGTCAAATTTCCTGTGAGCAATATGTGCGTTAATTTGCAGGAATTGGAAGATAATAGCACAAAACAGAGGCATTTGAGTGGAGAGGCAACAGTGACATTATCAAGACAGATCTCGTCGACAAGGAGTACTCCAGCAACACCTCTTAAATTGACAAAGTTTGTTCAGATCTCATTTCAGTGTCTTTGCTTTCATCAATGAACATTTTCAAGTGAATTAAATTATAAATTACGGTTTGGATAAATATGGATAAATTACAATTGAATGGAGTGGAAAACCCAAATGATTTCTAATTTTTCAATTTATTTCAATAGAGCGTTTCTCAGTTCCATAACTGTCGATACTCGATTGGATTCACTCATTTTGCCAGCCTTTTCATTGTGATTTGATCTGAATTATTGCTGTCCATATTTTCAGTCAGGTAAGTGTCGAGGGATCTTCGCTGAATTCACCTCCTCCACCTGCAACCCCGCCACCTCCTCCTGGCATACCGTATAGTGTAGCTGCTGGTCTCGGAACAAAATCTGGCAAAGGTGCCGTCATTCAAACGCTGTAAGTTCGTTCGTGCTACTTCGATTTGCTTTTTCTTTGCTCAGATTTCGATCGCAATTATCAAACGTAATTTATAATTTCTTATGTTAGTGTGCTGATGATTTTTTTAATGCACTCTGTTTGTTGATAATTTCATAAAGAGATGATTTTGATAACAGTTTTGTTGTGTGAAGTTCGCTGCGTTGTTTGAAAATAATGAGCGTGACAACTGAAATGTATAATTTTAACCAATTGAGAAATGTTATTGTTGGAAGGGAATACGTTTGCTTATCTGTGTGCAGTTAGTTGGTTTGTGCCAGCTTGCGAAACTTTTATCTGTTTTGTGCGCGTATTATCATTCGCGCGATGCGCTCTTCAGCAGCGCTGATTCGGTCATTTGGACTAGCGCTGAGGCAGATCCTCGCTCAGTCTCATCACAAAGTCTGTGATTGTCTTCATCGCCCAGTGCGGAAGGGCATATTGCACAAATGACGAATAATTACTGTTTTTAGTAGNCAAAAGTGTCAAAGAATCGAGTTCATCTCATGAACGCATGATTTTACAAATTTTACTATCTTAAGAATCCGAAAATGATTGTTTGCGGGACAGTCGATTTTGTTTAGTTCCAAATAAGGACATTAGGTCAAGCGTCTCTTCGGATGCTAACTGCAGAAAGTTGGTGGATTTAAAATTTATGCTGATGATCTCACTTACTTTAATTCATACTCGTTCCTTGCTTTATACTTATTGCACTTTTCTATTCGAAATAATTTGACGGCATCGTTTAAACAAATTTCTTCGTGTTTTCATGAAACGCTTTCGCGAAATACCGCAAAATCTTTGTTTTTACTGTTACGAAGTGAATGTTCACTTCGTAACAGTAAAATGTTCACTTCGTAACAGTAACGATGACCATGAATCAAATATATTCCATTGCGGCTCTTTGATGAGATCTTAGCGAATCAGTAATAACATTAGAATCGCTCACTATGTTCAAAAAAACAGAGGGGGCGAAAATACAAGTGGTTAGTGGATCGCCCGAAGTGGTCAGGAACGAGTTGTGAATTGTTGTCTCTGTATGAGCATTTAGAGGTGAATAAGTGGAATGAAGAAGCTTGCAATTCTTAAAAATAGGAATGTTAGTTGATTGTGGGTTTTCTTTGGTTGAATTTTCGAAACGTTCCCTTTTCACTGAAAACAACAAACGAATGAATTTTGGCACGAAGGTTTGGCACTCGATGATATTTTCCGTATGTGATGATGTCATAAAAAATGAACGTATTCAAATGTTTAAATGTTCAGTATGGAGCAGCAATGTAAATACCAGAAATGTAGATACGTAATCAGTATTGATTGGTTGAGTGTGTATTGTATGAATGGAAGTGAAGAGAGAGAGTGAGT